TCAGAGAACGTTAAAACAATTCTTGTAACTGCCGGAGCAAGCTGCATATCTGAGCAAGAAAATTGTGGAATAATTGAAAGATGTATCTTCTTGTCCAGTTGACATTTTTTTTTATTAAACCAATGAGATCAATTTTTTTAGACAATCTTTGATGAAGATGAAAGCTTAGAAAAGAAACATAGTCATTTTGCAATGTTAGACTTTTTTCTTTGATTTATCATTGCAAAAGCTATCTCCATTTGATTTAAAAAATGTTTGAGTTACTTCTCTTAGCTCTGATATCTGCAGTCACAGACTTACCTCTTTGATGTATCCTTTCTGATTGATCTTTGTTATTGTCATCTCTTTAGAGATAACACATTACGTTTGAAACCCGGATGTGAATCCCCAGTGTAAGCTGCTATTGATAAATCGGCAATCCTTGGCTGACTCCGCTTCACTCCATAACAACTGTGCGAGGCACGGGTCACCCGAGGAGCTTCGAGTGACCATTGATAATCTTGATGTTGACGCGATTTCTAAATATAGAGATGTAAACAAAACTGTTCAAAGAATGAGCAATCTGTCTTATTATCAAACAAAACAGGCCATCTTAAAGAAAACTTTTCACAGGAATCATAAAGAGTCAGACAGGACCGTTTGTATCTTCAAAATACATTTAGTCATCTAGGCTATTGTGTAAATGATGGTCAGCGCGTGTGTATCGAAATGCACTAAACAGTAAACATGGCATCGAATAGATCAGTCAAGGCGTGGATCCAAGAATCTATGCGGTTTATAAAGCATAAACTGCCCCAACCCTGGTTATACAGTATATCTTGGGTAGCTTTTAAATTCATTCCTTAAGTAGTTTTTTTGTCTGATATACATAAGTGCATTTTAACATGATATTAAATCCTTGAAAATTGTAAGGGAATCGTTTTGTGAAGCAAACTATATCGCGTCTTACGAAGAATCAAGGGGATACGGCCGACAGCGATGAAAAGTCACCAAAAATGTATGAAGAGCTTTGAGATCAACGATGTCCGGTCAACAGCTTGGAAAAATACTTGGCCAAACTACATCCCGACAACAAGTGGCTTTGGCAGAAGCCACGCGACTCGTATGCAGACGAAGATAACTTCGTCGACAAAAGCACACTCGGACACATGATGCAAAAAATCTGTAAGGAGGCGAACCTGAGCAAAATTTACACTAACCCTTGCATAAAGGCTACTTGCATATCAGTCCTCGACGAATGCGGATACGAGGCACGACACATCATAAGATTATCAGGATTTTAATCCGAGTCCAGCATTAAACACTATGCATCCCGACTTAATGAAACAAAAAAACGTGAAATGTCAACGGTGATGTATTGAAAGTTTTATCTCTAACCAGGAAAACAGTAGCAATGGAAAATACTTCAGAAAATTTTGAACTGGACTTTTTGAACGACATAGATTACCAGTACCTCATGAATGTGCTGGAGCAGTTCTTCATGAACACTAAACCCCGTCCTCAAAACTTCATCACTAATTGTAACATTACGATAAACTACAATTACATTTAGGATTGAGTAGACGTTAATTGTTACCTTAAAAATTACATTTTTTTATAAGAGTAAAAGGACCATTTTGTTTACCTCTTGTTTTGCAATGCATCATCACAATAAAAAAAAACTGAATTCTGTACTGCATTTCATATAACAGACACCATAGAGCATGTCAGATAAATTTGCAACATCATTTTTTTTTTCGACCTGAACACTTCCGGTCGCCACCGAAAGTGAATTTTAAAAATTGCACTTTAATTCTGTCTTACAAACTCTAGAAAATACGTTTTGATATTTTTACACATGCATTTGTGACATCAGACATCAATCGATAAAAAAAATTATGTCTTGATGTAAGGATGGGAAGTTATTGTTTTTGTTATTTTCTAAAATATTGCAAAGTTTGGAATTATTGCTTTTTCTCAGAATATATTTAACAAAAGCTACACGTACTTTAATATCATCATTTCATGCAATTTTTTATTTATTTATTTATAATTCTTTTTTGTAAATCTTAGATGAAAACATGCTAACTGCTTATTATTACTTTCAGTACTTTGATTTTTATAAATCGTGGAATGGTTATATACAATGTTCAAAAGTTAAACGTTTTGATTCTATCTATGTCACTATTTTTGCGAATTTATTATTTTTTTTTAATTCTTTGGAGTTTATAAGTATCCAAATTTCATTAATATCACTTAAAGATTTAAAAATATGAATGAGATTTGAAGGATGTGAGGAGTGCCCCAGTCTACGTACAAACCTGTTATCAAGACTTTTCAGGATCAGGGTAGCCGGTTGAACGCTAAAAAAACAGGCCTTTGGGGAAAATTGTCTTTTCGGGGAGAAACCAGTTTGCTTTGGTTGGTAAAACGGAGCAGAGCAAAGGTACTACAAGATGTTACAACCGAATTTAATATTGGAAATGGTTTTAAGCAAGTCAGCTGAAGGACTTTGGAGCGGATTTTGAATAAAAATCAGATTTATCGGAGAGTTGTCAGGAAACGTTGTCAACCAAAAGAAAACGACTTACATGGTGCCTACATAAACGGAGATTAACTGTAAACCAATATTGGAGAAATACTATCTTCAGTGATGAGACAAACCGAATGGTCAAAATAATAGGGTCTACCTGTGGCGATCTGCTTATGAAGCTTACTATCCGGAGTGCATGTCAGGAAATGTTGTCAACCGAAGAAAACGACTTACATTGTGCCTCTATAAAACGGAGATTAGCTGTAAACCATTATTAGAGAAATAATATCTTCAGAGATGAGACACAAATCGTATAGTTAAAATAATTGGGCCTGATTCAGGCGATCTGCTTATGAAGCTTACAGACCGGAGTGTATGTTGGCAGAGTGTAAGCCCAAAGTTTCAGTTATGATCTGGGGGTGTATTACCTGGTATGGGCCTAGTACTCTCTATAAGGTAAACGGCAATATAAATGCCGAGAAATAAATTTCAATATTAGATGTAGAAATGTGGCCTCTTATTGCCCGTCATTTCCCAGACAATTCCTACACATTCCGGGACGACAATGCCCCCGTGCATCGAGTACGTATCGTAGAGAGATGTAAATTATTTGAAAACAACATCCATGGAATGATATGACCAGTCCAATAGCCAGTCATAGATATTATCGAAAACTGTTGGCATCGGGTGGAGAGGAGTTTACAAAATCGGGCAGGCGAAATAACTAATTCAAATCAGCTGTTCGAAGCTATTCTTGATATTTGGCAGAATTTTTTAGTTAAGTACATTTAAAATCTTTCTCAGCCTCTATCTTGAAGAATTCTTGCATGCATTCGGTTTTAATGTACTTTACAAATTAGGGTTAGTCCTTCACCAAAACTGTATAAACCAAGTCACCTGGGTCAATGTTGTCAGGCCTTATTGTTGTCATTGGTCATATATTGAAAATATATTACATGATGGGGATCAACAAGTAATTTTTTATATGATAATGATAAACAATTAGCCGTCTAAAAATACAGTCCCTGTTTCAGACTCAAGGATAGGACTAAATTGGTTGTAAATTAAAAATGCATAACACATTGAAAAACCTTTTACTTATGTACATGTGCAAGACAAATGTTACACATGTAAACCTTATCAAAAACTATCAAATTTATGGCTCATGGTCCCAGCATTTGGACCCAAACTGGAGCCATTGGTCATTAAAATAAGTACTAACTTCCTTTCCTAAAATTTCAAAATCTATGTCACCTATATATCCAGCGCCCAGGCCCCGGAGTGTGGATAAGTCAGTCATGTATTGAAATTTATTATACAATGTGCCTGGATGTCTATGAGGAAAGCTGCATGATTTTATAAGCCTCTCAAAACTATTTTTGTGAGACCAGAGGTCCAGTCCATTTGAATTGAAATGGCAATAGCATCAGAAACTCATGATATTCAGGTGACTGTTATCCCATGCTTCAGCAACCGTTTTATAAGACTCTGACACTGAATTTAGAAATGTATTCTTTGATTATTATGATATAATTATTAAACTCTTGGAGTAAATGTGAATAAATTTAATTACTTACATAATGACCCCCCTCCAATCAAAATTTTTTTATTGATAAGATCATGTGATCAAAGGTAAGCAGTACGATTGGATATTATGGTTTAATATTTATAAATTTGCATCAAGTGGAGATAGAACAAACAATTACTGTTAATATCTTCTTTATTTTTGTCCTTAGGAACAAAAGGATTTCATAGGTAGATAGCTCTCAGCAAGCCGATTCCAACGATATGCATAACTCATTTTGGACCATTTTTGCACTTAGAACATGGATGATTTTGGCAAAAGAGTTTGTGATTCAATTTTTTAAAAAGTTGGAATTTAAACTATCAGTATTTCATAAACATCCCTTCTCAACACGATGTTTCAATGCACCGCTGAAGAAATCATTTTAAGAGGTCAAGGAGCCAAAATGAATGGAGACAGAACTTCGTTTCTATTATATATTTCCCTTATCGTTCCAAGCTCTCTAACTAGAGTTCATAATCAAGTGTAAAATAGAACTATGACTGGCAACTTCTATTTCATGCTTCTTTAAAAGTAACATGACTAAATGTATCTTAAATTGGAAACAATTTTCTTCCAAACAACAAAAATGATGACCTTTCAATAGTCGATATTGACTTGGTGTTTCTCAAAACATACTTTCACCTCCTAGTGTATTTCAAGAATGGACATTTTTATTACTTTGGACCTTTCGAAAATAATTGAACAATAAACCTTACCCATTCTCTAAAATCTTACTTAACTGAAAACAAAATCGAGATAAAGCTTACGTTGAAGTCCTTGACAGTTGACACCTCCTCTTAAACTAGAGCAGTATCTGTGTTTCTCGGGTATGAAACGATCATTTTTTAAAAAGAATAAGATTGTTGTTAAAAATAGCATTGTTTATTCATAATTGATTTATTAAAAAATAACGATGGAAAATGATAAAATTGCTTCAACACATTTGATCATGAACGTGTAAGAAAAAAATAAATATATTTTTATTTTAAATAAACGGAAATTTATGTATAATGTTGAAAAGTGCAATTCATAAATAAAAGCACTGTCAAGGCGAGCATTTTCATCTATGAACACGTTCATTGATAAAAACGTTTCGGACACGAGTTAAAATTAGGAAATCTATTTTATCTGGGGTAAAGTCCCATGTTTAAATGCAGTATTCGTAGATATCAGTTCTGCTACAAACGTTTTCCATTCGTATACAAATTTCCTCTCCAGAAATGTTTCTGTGTCGACACGAATAAAGAATCTCCAAAATCTGGTTTATAAATCTCCATCGAACACACGCTTGTTTGGAGACTTAGCTCTATGGTGCTTGTCGGTATCGTGTGTAGAACCATTGAGACTTAAATCTGTATATCAACCACTTGTCGATATTGTATGTTTGTTTCATACTTTATAAATTTTCCCTAAATCACTGTTAAACAGGCGCTTCTCGATGCTGTATGTAGACGTAAGTCTATAAAATCTCTGTTAATCATGCAGAAAGTGTTTTGCGTAAAAAAAACAACACTAGACTCGGATCTGTGAACGCTCTGTTAATTGTGTGTTTGTTGTTGTTGTGTGTGTAAAAGCGAAATCTGTGTCAATCGTGTGCTTGTCGTTGTTGAGCGTGTAGAACCATTGAGACTCGGATCTGTGAACTCTGCATCAATCGTGTGCTTGTCGTTGTTGTTGTGTGTAGAATCATTGATACTCGGATCTGTGAACTCTAAGTCAGTCGTGCGCTTGTCGATGTTGTGTGTGTAGGAGCACCAGAATCTGATCCATTTTTCTGTCTAGTTCCCGCATTTGAGACTCCATACTCGATAACTTGGAGAAGACGGTCACTCGTTCTTTATCCCTGTTCAGTACATGTAGTGGCTTTCCCAGAGTTGTATCCAGTCTAAAAGTAAAGTCTTAGATAAATGCTTCAATTATAAACAACATAAAATCTGACATTTTCGTTTCAGAGAAATAACGAAGCCCAAGTTTTTGTTATTCAAATTAACATTGAAAAGCATTTCTAATTGTTCTCTCCTTTAAATTTATGAATATTTTATTAGTGCATGTTTATATCGAATATGATTAATGATAAGATTGGTCTGTTTCCTACTTAGCTGCTTCATACTTTAGTCTTATGTTTAGATATATGATGGGTTTGTTTCCTACTTAGCCGCTTCATACTTAACCGTATGTTTAGATATAAGAAGGGACAATATATGTTTAGATATATGATTGGGTCACTATATGTTTATATATATGATGGGCCACTTATCTGCCGTAACATTTAAGTCAAGTGTGTAATTGTTAACTGTTCTCTAACTTTTCCAACGTCTAGGCGTTCGCATTCATTTTCATGAATCTCATTCTTTGAAAATACGACTGGGTGTTAACACACAGATAATTAGGGATAACTGAATGGCTGATTTAAATACAATATCACCTTAAAGTTACTTTATCAAACAGTTTTTATTCACTTAAAAATGTACAGCTGGGATCGTTTGGATAAGTAAACAATCTTCTATAATCAAGTATCAATATACAGCTAAAAACATGCATTCGACTGGCAATGTTAGGAAAAATTCATTTTATTATTTTACCTAGGTATATTAATATCTTTGTTTTACATTAGTGAACATCACTTTGGTACATGCAAGTATGAGGTATCATATCACAACTCACCTCCTCTGAAGTTCTTTGATCCGCACCATCATGTTTAAATGTCCCTGAGAATATTGCTCAATAACATCTCTGACGTCATAAGGCTTCCGAGCTAGCTATAAAGACATCGGACACATTTCAGTTAGGAATAACATATTAAGACATCAGCCACATTTCAGTTAGGGATCACATATAAAGACATAATATAGATTTCAGTTAGGAATTACATATATAGAAATAATATAGATTTCAGTTAGGAATCACACATTAAGACATCAGATGGAATTCAGTTAGTGATCACATATATAGACATAATATAGATTTCAGTTAGGAATCACACATTAAGACATAATATAGATTTCAGTTAGGAATCACACATTAAGACATAATATAGATTTCAGTTAGGAATCACATATTAAGACATCAGAAAAATTTCAGTTAGGGATCACATATTAAGACATCAGATAGATTTCAGTTAGGGATCACATATTAAGACATCAGATGGAATTCATTTAGTGATCACATATATAGACATAATATAAATTTCAGTTAGGAATCACACATTAAGACATCAGATGGAATTCAGTTAGTGATCACATATATAGACATAATAGAGATTTCAGTTAGGGATCACATATTAAGACATCAGATAGATTTCAGTTAGGGATCACATATTAAGACATCAGATAGATTTCAGTTAGGGATCACATATTAAGACATCAGATAGATTTCAGTTAGGGATCACATCAGTGTTAGGGTTAAATAAAGAGATAGGAATCACATCGATATAGTGTACGATTACTTATGCTGCTTATTGCCTAAAAATTACATATTAACAAATTACTGTAGCAACAGGTAAATATATAAGTTTTTTATTTGATGTCAGTTAAAAACTGAGATATAATATAGAGCGGTAGTTAAAAATAACGATATTATGTAGGTGATAGCAAAAAATAACGATATTATGTAGACGATAGCAAAAAATAACTATGTTATGTAGATGATAGCAAAAAATAACGATGTTATATAGGTGATAGTATACACATATCCACTGGCTGTGAGTGGGATAGCTCTTTTATCAAACCCGCGACAGGAACTAGTCCCCGAGGGCTTGCCCGAGGGGAATAGTTCCTGTCAAGGGTTTGATGAAAGAGCTATCCCACTCACAGCCAGTGGATAAGCATTTTATTATACTGATGTATATCATAATTTCTGAGTGTTGTATTTACCTGATACTACAGTTCGATAGTAAAATCATGAAGAAAAAAATAATTTATGAAAGTTTTGAACAAGTATTTGGAATAAGATAACACTGCTAGAATGAGCTGAAATCCTGATGACGTCACAATGCTATTGAAGTCAGGATGACATCATAAGTCTATAGATTGATTACAGGAAATCAAACTTGGCGGCAAAAATTGCATGAAAATTTTCCGAGGGGTGGATAGCAAAAACTATACCCCGGGGTATAGCTTTGCTATGTGTGGAAATTTTGAGACTATAAAGATAGTTAGTTTACCTTCTTAACTTTATATAGGAAACATTTTAACAGAAGTATAATAACAAAAAATAACGATATAATGTAGGTAATAGTAAAAAATAACGATATTATGTAGCTGATAGCAAAAAATAACGATATGATGATGTGTGAGGTGGCACCTTAAAAAATCACGATATTAAACAGAGTGAAAGCTACAAATATACTACTTATGTATACGGCAAACGCAACAAATATATCCCAAGAAAGTCTAAAACTCAACTACAAAATAATGAATGAATGGATCTACCAGGTAATGGAAATTTTACTAAAAATTCAGGAATATGACGTAGAACAAAACGATATGAACAATGGAATAAAAATGCTTTTATAAGCAGGAGTATACAAATAGAGGATATTCAATGTATTGTAGATGAATATGGAATTTATTAATTAATTAATTCCATATTCATTACAAAACATTGAATTTTCTGTTTATTACATTTTCTTTGATTTTCCCTTTGCCCCTGTCTTTTCTTAACACAGTGTCATAAGCTTGACGTCATAGTTGAGCGGTTGAGACGTCATAGCTTAGCAGTTGTGAGATTGAAAACATTACATAGCATAGATTTTAGCAACATATTTGGGAAGAAATTTGCAGTTTAATCTCTATTAAGATGGTTAGTTACTATCTCTATCTTATGACAGGCCAGAAATTATTTTTTTACTTACTTTGATATCCTTTCACACTGTGAGAGAATATCATTTTGGTATCCTTTCACACTGTGAGAGAATATCATTTTGGTATCCTTTCACACTGTGAGAGAATATCACTTTTATTCAATAAATAAATCACAGTATTTCACTGTTGACAATGTAATAAACGATCTACATAAGAATAAAAAAAAAAATTTTTAAATATGAAACGGCCGGTCCCTTAAATTATCATAATTAGTATTTTTACCTGAAAACGTCGCCTGGCAACAAAGAATTTAATTCTTCGAATAACTCTTATCATTGTTTTATGTTCTTCGGTTAATCTGAAAAACGTATTAAAAAATAATAGCTATGAATATTGGAAAGGATGAATATATTTAATGTTACACGCATTTAAGAAATATCTTCCAATTTGGAAAGTTAATAAAGATACAGACTTCTCATACGGACATGATATGATAAAATCAGTGATACATACTCCTGAGGTTTAGACACAGCTTCTTCCTCCAGTCCGTCGTTGGAGTATTCCATCATTTCTACTGCCTGACAGTTGTTCAGATCTATTGAATAGTAAAAAGAAAGATCTTTTAGTGACACTCTAGACTTACCCTACTGACGATGTTCAGATCTATTGAATAATTAACATTAATATTTAAAAGTTATAATTTTATAAGTGGCAGTCTAGATTAACCCTATAAAGAGTGGTCCTGACCTATTGAATAATTATCAATAAGAGTTATTCTAGATTAACCCTACCGACATTTATTCAGATCTGTTAATTAACTAACATTAAGAGTTATTCTAGATTAACCCTACCGACATTTATTCAGATCTGTTAATTAACTAACATTAAGAGTTATTCTAGATTAATCCTACCGTTAATTATTCAGATCTGTTGAATAACTAACAATAAGAGTTATTCTAGATTGACCCTACGTTTTCAGAAGAATGAAGAGAAATAGAATGACTTAACAATTGAATTCATACAGTGAGATGCACTTCCGAAAAGTTACCTGTTTTCTCTGAGTACTCTGGAATAGATTGACAACTGCCGTGTTTATCAGTTATGCTGGAGGTCCGGGAAAAATTTCGTTTCTTCAGAAGATTCGGTCTTTGAGGAAATCTAGATAGAGACCCTGACGATGGGTTTTGTTTATTGTTGATCATTTTCTTGGAGTGATGGTTAGACATTTTTGAAAAACCGTAATGATGTTTGTGTTGGTGGCGCTTTTCATCTAGATGAACCTTCCAGGTGGCGCTAGAATGAAAATTAGGCTCAGCCGCGTGGCATCGCCATAAGCACTGCAAAGAAACAAACGAACAACTTATCAACAAACAACAAACCAACAACTTATTAACAAACAACAAATCAACAACTAATTAACAAATTACGAATGAAGCAATGGTCCACTTGTAATTGGTGTAAGTGGAGAGTAGGCTTGGTAAATGTTTCACCTATAGAAAACTTGTACGTGTCCTTGCTCTTTTAAAATATATAATTTCGACCGGCATTCTTCATTTTTTTTTTAAATTGAATGAATTTCTACACATATATATTGTAGTCAGTTATCTATCAGAACTTTAACATTTCTAATCATAATGTCAAATTTAATGGCTATATAACTATAGTAAACTACAGTTTATCAAAGGGTTTGATTTTGTTATGGGATTTAGGAATTTGTACAAAACTACAACTGTATATATTTCAATATAAATGCAATATTTTCTGTGAAGAGAAAAATATATTCATCCGATAGAGAAGTATATTTCTAAAACAATTAAAATTCGTTAGAACTGAAAACATGAAAGATGTGAATGGAATTTTGAGTGACATGTAGATTTAGAAAAGAGAGAATAGAAAAAATACCGGAAGTGGAAATAATAAGAACAATAGCCGAGATTCGATCTGAAAATTGATTTCTTTTGCATGAAATTCTTCATACAGATTTAAATTAAATCTGGAAATGTTTCATCAGAGGCTTGTTTCGAGGAAAAAGGTACATGTATATAAAATAGAGTCGTATAATTTTGAGGGACACACTCCATTACAACTTTTGGAATAAGGTATATTATTTAATGGATTTTTAATAGCAAAGTTACTGTGCAGTCATAAATACCTCTCACATTATAAGCCTTTTTCAATAAAACGTTACATTCACTATGATGTAAGTTGTACACAATATATTTTCATGTATGGCGTGATCTATCATGTGCTTATTACTGCTAAGTAAACCTTCACTTAGTATTCTAAAACACCAAGCTTACCTGTATAAGTGTAAACCTTCACTTAGTATTCTAAAACACCAAACTTACCTGTATAAATGTAAACCTTCACTTTGTATTCTATAACACCAAGCTTACCTGTATAAGTGTATACCTTCACTTAGTATTCTATAACACCAAGCTTACCTGTATAAGTGTAAACCTTCACTTAGTATTCTATAACACCAAGCTTACCTGTATAAGTGTAAACCTTCACTTAGTATTCTATAACACCAGGCATACCTGTATAAGTGTAAACCTTCTCTTTGTATTCCATAACAACAGGCTTACCTGTTTAAGTGTAAACCTTCACTTAGTATTCTATAACACACATTCATTTAGAATTCTACAAAGCCAGGCCTACATGTACCTGTATAAGTGAGGCAGCAGTGGGAATCTGACGATTAAAATGTTTCTGTCGTTGTTTTTGCTGAACTTTCAGGGCGAATCCAGACCCGAGTATGCCCTGAAACAAAAATACACATACATGTATAACCGAATAATACAGACCAAGTATGCCATGAAACAAAAACACACAAACATGTATAACAAATAACACAGACCCAAGTTTACCCTGAAACAAAACCTAACAAAAACTAATACAGACCCAGGTTTACCCTAGCTAAGTCAAAAACAATGCACAAACATGTATAACAAAATAATACATACCAAAGTTTACCAAGAATCAAAGCACACAAACATGTCTAATCAAATGATATAGATCCAAGTTTACCCTGAATCAAAGACTCACATACATCTATAATCAAATAACACAGGTCCAAGTTTACCCTGAAACAAAAACTAATACAGACCCAAGTTTCCCCTGAATTTAAATCACACAAACATGTATAACCAAATAATACAGACAAACGTTTACTCTGAATCCAAAACACACATGCATGTATAACCAAATAATACAGACCCAAGTTTACCCTGAAACAAAAACACACATGCATGCATGTATAACCAAATAATACAGACCCAAGCTTTCCCTAACACCGTATTGTTTACATTTTTCTAGTTATCCGATCATGACAAAGAGCACAGGGCAATTGTGACAGGTGGACAGGGGATACTTACTTCACTGTGGCACCTGATCCCACCTTTGATCTTTTTTTAGGACCATGTTTGCTCTGCTCCCAATTTGTATTGTACAAATGGAATTATGAGCTTGATAATTATTCGCTATCGTCATAATTCATATACAATGGGAAGATATGTTCAAAAATCCAATGAAATAATACAAATTGTGAGCAGAGCAAACCCTGACCTCTTCCAACAGAAGATGTCGGATCAACTGCAAGGTAGGAGTAAACATCTGTCGACTTGCAACATGGGCTCTTTGCCATGATAGGGTAAACGGAGAAATTCGTAACCAGTTCGTTATAAGAAATAATGACCAAACAATTTGTGTACAAACGTCAATAAACATTCGACTTAAAGACAAATGGTATTGCAAACAAGGTTATATGTATCGGCAAACGAATTCGCAACATTTTGACTTTAGACAAAAATGTAAATATTCTTGTATCATCAACCGTTTAGCTGTAATCCATCTCATTTAATAAACTATGCGCACAAGGAACATGCCCTTGCATAAAGAATGAACTGATAAATAAAAAACACACTCATATGCAGGTAAAAATGAGATAGTGACATATAAATGATAAGTTAAGGATAAAAAGTTGAAGTCGTCATTTTTATGCCCATGTAATCGAAGATTTGGGGGTATATAGTTTTAGCCTTGTCCGTCTGGCTGTCTGTCTGTCTAGCTGATTGTCAGTCTTGCTGCCTGTTTGTGTGTTAATCTGTTAATTTTAACCTTGCACAAAACTTTTGATTGGTCAATGCTATGGGTATAATATTTCAAGTGTTTATCTCTTGTGACAAGACCTTTATTTGGTTATAAATATATTTGACCTCTTGACCTTTGAGTTTGACCTGATAACTGTACAGTTGTTGCTTGGGCTTTCGTACTTCACATGCCTATTCACTGTGTCAAGACCTTTCCTTGGGTATAAATATTTTGGACTTCTTGACCTTGACCCTAGAGTTTAACCGACTTTAAAAAAAAAACTTTGACCAATTAGTACTAGGGCTTTCATATTTCACAGGTGTGACAAGACCTTCCTTTTGATACCAACAATTTTGACCCTTAACCTTGGAGTTTAAGATATTTTCAAAACATTTTAACCTTGGCGATAACTTTTGAAAAGTTGGTGCAATGGCTTTTATATTTCACATGTATATTTCTTGTGGCAAGTCTTTTCGCTATGTATCTTTGTTTTTGAGCCTCTGTTCTTGACCTTGGAGTTTGATCCACTTTTAAAAAACATTAACCTTGACCATAACTTTTAAACGGTTGGTTCTAAGACCTTCATATTTTACAGGTATATTCATTGATACGAGTTCTTTCTTCGGAAAGCAACATTTTTGATCTCTTGACCTTGGGAGATAATTGGCATTTGAGAAACTTCAACTTTCGCCATAAGCTGCCATACGGGGACATCAGTGTTTCACAAACACATCTTGTTATTATAAAGTTAAATGTTAGTTTGTCATTAATTTCTTTTTCTAGTAAAACATCCAAATATGAAGCAGATGTGTCAGACTTCGTCATTTCTTTTATTTTGAGCTTCATGGTACCAGTATATAATCAATCAAGATATGAATAAAAATAAACTAAATACTGTTAGGGTTAGGGTGTATAAATATCCTCGATATACATGTATCTAAATGTCGGTTTGAAGGTCATAGCAAGAGATTACTTCTTTCTTGTTGAAGATTATTGAATAAATTCTTTTTAGGAATTCAGAAAAGGGCTGCTTACAATGGGACTATAATAATACTGGTGGGAATTCCAACAGATTCTTTGAATTCTTTTTCTACAGAGACAAGATAAATATTGTCAATGAGGAACTCAAGCATCTTCAGAATGGTTTTTAAACAAATTTGTAGATGACTGGTGACAAAATGGGAAAACTTATAACTTATATTAATTTAAAAGAAGTTGTCCAAATATTAAAAACTGGGGATGGTTGTATAAAGTGTTTAAAAGTCCTTTGTTTTGATGAAATTGATTTTGCGAATTCAAATTTTCTAAAAGTTCTTTAAGTATTTGAAGAATTAAATAAAATCACATTAAGCCACATTTGATTAAGTACAGAAAGTAAACAGTAAAGAAAAAGGCTTGATAGAACATTTGCTACATCCCGCTATGTAAAAGTATCTTGTTTGTAAAACAAAATTAATTTGTAAAGCTTTTTTAATCTAAAATAGGTATGGTAATTCAGAATAAATTAAGCTATTGGAAATATGAAAACTATTCAAAACTGACAAGTGATTTTGTAGATTTAGAAATGTTGGATTGGATATTGTGAAAAGTTTATGACGACAAGAGCAACAACGACAACAAACAACAAACATTTTTTTTTTAACAGAAGAACTCACTTGAGCCTTTGGCCCAGTTGAACTAAAGAGCAGTTAATGTGGTAGATGTCCTGCTCAGATAAAACAAAATTGTTAATCAAAATTGATACTCACAGCAGGAAGAGCAAAAAATGAAATGGCAAACACAGAAAAACAGGAGGCTACAATCCTCCCCATCCAGGTCTGGGGAACTGTATCCCCATAACCAATCGTTGTCACAGTAATCTGTAGAAAAGAGACAAATGAGATGATTCCTTTGCTGTCATCTTCCATACTGTATAATAAAAGACAAAAACAGGACTCTTTTTCATGTCTCTGTTCTTCTTCATTTGATCAACAGAGCCTGGTTCATTTGTTTCCTTGCAAAGTGAAAATATTTGTTGTTAACACTACTCACCACTCCCCACCAGAGGGCGTCAGCGTAGCTGGTGAAGTCTGTGGACCCGTTTTCTTTTTCTGCTAGGTAGACAAAATACGAGGAGAAAATGAGACCCAGGAATCCTATATAAAGCGTGGTGATCAGTTCCTGATAATAAAAGTACAGTCAAATCAGAATGGCTAGGTATAAATATAGTAATATAATATTAAACAGAGAAATATCATCACGAAATCAGCTTGAAATATAATTCGAATACCTTATCTTTATTAAAAGAAGACTCTAGACTCCTGTCCCAGACTTGTTATCTATGTAATTGACTTACTCTAGAGGTATGTTCCTCTTCTGACTGTGTTTACAGACAATGACATCAGAGTAATCTATCTTACTTTACCTTCTGAATTATTTATCTCTAAATTCCTTTTACAAGTTTTTCCATTAACTAACTTTAAGTTAATGATCATCTTATTAGCTGTCTGTGTGTGTAGACAACTGATTCCTGAGTTACGTCCCTTCCTTGTCTGTGTATGTAGACAACTGATTCCAGAATTATGTATCTTAGCTATCTATGTAGAAAACTGATTCCAAAGTTACGTCCCTTAGCTGTCTATGTATGTAGACACCTAATCACAGAGTTACGTTCCTTAGCTGTCTGTGTATTTAGGCAAATGATACCAGAGTTATGTCCCGTGTCTGTCTGTATGTAGAACTGTTTTCAGAGTTATGTCCCGTGCCTGTCTGTGTATGTAGACAAATAATCCTGGAGTTACATCTCTTACCTGTCTGTGTATGTAGACAACTGATCCCAATAGACGCCAAGTTCCTCCCTGTCTGTCAACGTGTAACATACGAAGGATTTGAAGAAACCGTACACCTCTATAAAGCAAATATCAAATAATTGTTAATGAGCCAGAAAATATAAAGTAAATCTTTGTGCCTTTTTGATTCCCCTTTTTTCTAACAAGAGTTCCAGTCATGGCTTTAATTGTCAGCTGAATACAATACAACCCTGTAAAGGATATAATTATATGTGTATAATCACACAAAAAAAGACCGAAACACAAAAAACAAGAGAAAAGTGATAATCGGGGATCAACAGAATAGTTTGTATAGTTATCAGCACCAGCTCAAACTTGCCTGTATATGTTAGACAATATTCAGGGTTTGACACTAAGGCACGTACGACCGACCCAGTCTAGTAGATGAGTGGTCCGGTCATGTAGAATGTAACCCTAACCCTGAACTAGACCGATTGGTCGTGTTAATAAAATTACTGTTAAATCCCATTTCAGTCTTTCAAATAAATATTCCAAAAACTTTTAAAGAATTTTTCTTAATTTTTACGATTGTAAACACAGCTATCGCTCTGCAAAAAAAAAATCCTGTATGATACAATATCTACTTTTAGCCACGGCTGTAATAGACAAGCCGCGGTAGAGACTTGCGTCGTTCAGTATCAATATGGTATAAATAGTTCTTGTAAAAATATATTCTGCAATCAATTTATTAATATTTAGGATAAAAAAATTATTAAAGTTCGTTGAATGATCTTTAAAGCTTACAATACTCGCATGTCCTGATGAACCCGACTCAATTGGCTAGTTTGAAACAATTTCAAAATTACCTCGTTAAAATTAGCGATTTAAAAAAAAATTGTAGGTTTGCTCAGGGCTAGTGATTTTACGGTCAGGGCTAGTAAAAATTATTGGAAGTAGCCCGACTGGTCTAGTACTCATAAAAGTTAATGTCAAACCCTGATATTCAAGAGTACACCCAGCACAATCCCCACACAATGATTGAATCTCTTGGACTATAATTTTTAATGTTCATCTGTAAGGCGCTTTGTCTCAGTTTTATTCTGTCATCTATTTTTTTACAAGTCTACGCAACTACAAAAAACTAAGAAATTACATTCTGTATTATGTATTAATAATTATTGTATCATACTTTTATTCCATTTTCCAATAAAATGCAATCTCTGCATTAATTAACTGATAAATTACCATAGGTAAGAATGAAGAAAAATAACTTATCTTAAAGCAGAGTAAATACAACATGATAAAATAAGCCCCACCCTAACTCCAGCTTTCTGTCTCAGGGGCCATGAATGTCACAATTTGGAATGGGCACTCTTTCTCATCTTAACCATGTACTTAGTTTGTGTACTAAATATCCCAAAGCAGATAATATTTTTTTTCCAATAAATGCCTTTTCATTGTACGATTAACCCTACCCATAGTCAACTAAATTTAGAGTTTTGGAAGATGCATTTTTGCTCATCATAACCATGCAATTAGTTTGTATTCTAAATACCCAGGAGCAGAGAAGAAATTTTTTAAAAGATTTAATGCATTTTTACAATCAGACAAATAGACCCCTGCCCTAACACAGAACCCCTGTCACAGAGACCATTAGTTCAACAAGTGTATTTAAGGAAGCGATTGCAAGGCGTCACGTGATCGACTCATGTGATGTTTAAAAAAAGAAGATTTACGGTAACCATTTCCGGAATAACAGCTGAATAAGGAGCGTGATTATGATTACGCCCATGACAAAATATCTTCGTGGCAATATTTTTAAAGCAGAGAATTAAAGAATAATATAAAGATGTGATGTTGCAGAGTGTTGGTGAGCGTCGACGCAGACTTTTTTTTTATCCCTGTGTTTTTTTTTTTCGTTTCGACACGTCTACCTTTTGTCGTAGTTCTGAACACTGAAATCTATTTCATGAATAAATTTAATTCATATCTGGATCTTTACGTCCTCTAGTTTTATTTAAAATATTAATATTAGAATTTTATTTGAGATCGGTTTCTTTCCTATAGGATCTACATCTATGAATCGATATTCATTTCTTAGAAGGCCTATATGGATGGACAGATAAATGAATGCGATTTTCATATATACGTGTATAGACCAGTTTGAGGCCGCATGCTGGACATGAACGTATTTTTAAAAATATCGCAGAGGAAATTGTTTTCCTCTGTAAGATCTTCTCTAGCATTTTCAACTCTTACATCGACCATGTAAACATTGAATCGTCGGCACATTATTGCGTAAACATTTAATTGTTGTGGTAAAATGTTTTATTCGTCGTATTTGGTAAAAAATTGAAACCTAACACACTTCTTCTGACAGAAAAGAACAGTTTCTTTTTGCAAGTTTTCACAAATCTAGCAAAAAATACGCGCGTAAGAATGACAGACGAAACTAAGAGAGGTTAATTCTGACAATCGAGGTACTACGAAGGTACCAGGTATACCAGAGAGAGAAAATTATTTTGAGCATATTACATTTATTAAAAAAAACATTTCAACTCATCATGCTCACGGGAATATATTTGAAAAATGAATTTGATTTTTTAAAATTCACGAGGACATAAACAAAGACGTTTCACCTCAGCATATTTCATGAACCGCGTGAGCATGAAGCGCAAATTTATAAATGTCTTTCAACGATTATTTTTGAAACAAAACAGTTTGCACTATAGTTTTGACGTCAAGTGTGGCATTATGACGTCACAATGGAGATATGTAGGCTTACCTAGTTCATGAAAAAATGAATTGTTTTCTAACTTGCAATGAATCTGAAGGAAAAATATTTGCAAAATGTAAATATTAAATAGCAAATCATAAAATTTGTCAAATAAGATAATAGTTAGGATTTTATATACGGTATATATTGCAGGTACAAGTTCTCTGAAATAACCTATTCATTCAATGTGTTCAAGTGACACCCCTTCCCCCCCCCCCCTTTCCGATTCCAAGTCACAGTGCAGAGAACTCGATGAGTGTTCAGAGCATGAATAATTTGGCCCTTAGACCACTGTGCACTGGTTTAGAATGTATATACATGTACTTATGTTGATATAATAACGGAATGAATATTTTGGAGATGGGGAAATAAAAAAAAAAATGCATATTGTTGTTTTTTGTGTACATTATACTTATATCATTCTGCTCGATGTATAAAATGAGCAACCACTACAAGATTTTCAGGAAAAAATATTTATTAATCTATACGTATTTTCTATAGTTTGTAACAGATTATGCATATTAAAGGTTCAGCAACAAACCATCAGATTAAAATTTATGAAATCTTTTAATATTTTAGGAAGGGGGGGGGGGTATTGAAATGCATGTAGCTTAAAAAAGAATGTGATGACCCCACTTCATATTTTAACCATAAGTCACTTATAATAATTGTTACAAAATATATTAATTTTAGGAAAATTCATTGGGTAATTTTTTGTCAAGACGTTGAAAACTGCTCTTGGGGTGAAAATATTGCTGCAAATTTACAATGACTACTCCCCAAAGCAACTGTGGCATTAGTACATCTATCAGTAGTTTCCGATACAATTTTTATTTCCGATGAATATAAAGCATATTATTTAATATCTGGTGAAAATTATTTAATTTGTTTCAATTTTGATACCTGTATGGTATAATTAAAAATTCACTACATAAATATCAAAATATTGAAAAACGGTGGTTACCATGGCAACCATATCTTCCTTATAACCCTGATGACCATAGTTGAAATTTTCATATTATGATACCATTAAGGTAAGGCAAATTATATGTAAAAATGAGAAAAATTCATAGAGCGGATTTTTTTCATGTACCCTTGCAATCTCTTCCTTAAGAGGCACTCTAGTTGACGATATCTACTCTTCGTTTATCTACTGAATATACAGGGGAGAGATTTTTGAAGAAATCATGCATTTGCACTATACGATCAATAGAGCCCCACTCTAAAACGAGATACACTACCCAGGGGCAGGAAATTTACCACTTTGGAAGAAGCATTATTGCTCATCATAGCCATGAACTTCAGTTATCTGGTTGATACCCAAGAGCAAAGATTTTTTTAAAGAGTTATTACATTTTCACTATATAATCGCTAGAGCCCTAAACTAGCACTAGAACCCCTGACCCGGGGACTTGAATTTCACAACTTTGAAAAAAGTATCCTATCTATTCGCAACGTGATCAATAGGGTCCCATCTAAAGCCTAGAACCGCTAACTCTTGGGTCATGAATTTTACAATTATGGTGACACGGCGCTCATGACAATCATGCCAACATTTTGACAGCTTGAACTCTAGAATTAAAGAAGAAGATCGCATTGATTTTGATGGTTTAAACCCCAATCCTCAGGTTCCAGGAGCGCAGGGACCGTGAAATTCACATTTTTTGTTTTCTTTTCAACATATTGCTATAAGCCAAAATTAATAGAAACTGGTTCAGCAGTTCCAGAGAAGGAAATCAAAATTTTCAAATATTTACGCAGGCTGCACGGCGGACGACGCACGACGACGGACAAAAATAGATAGCAATAGGTCACCTGAATGACTAAGGTGACCTAAACATTTTCCTGTTCATCAATTTCGTTGACTCAGCATAATATCAAAATAAAAACTGGTCAAAAATATTTGAGGGATTTAACATATATAGATTAACAAGCTATAAACTTTTTTGTATTGTTAAATATGTAACAACATCCTCTGATTGTTGGCAATCCAATGAATTCAAGGTCAAGAAAAAGTAAAGATTATCATACTAAGTTTTAATCCTTGTAATCAACAAAAACATTTGTCTGAAAATTATTTTTTGTTGGAGAAATGTATACAGAAGAAAATAGCAGACAGCAGAGAGATAGCAATGCTTAATCCAATAAGTAGTTTTCATTAAACATTTTAAGAGCTACAGACAAATAAACATAGAATAGGTTTATCTTCTATTCTGTGTCCTTGAGTACACGTCAACAAAACAGGACCCCCCCCCCCCCTGTTTAAAGGACTTTTAAAAATTATCAACCATCATTTCATACTTAATTACAATTTCAATTGAAATTTGTAGTCATGGTGTGAAATTGCAACAAATAAATTCGCAAAAAATCCATGTACCTATTTTGGAGACAAAGCACAAACATTTGCACTAGCAGAAAAAAGAACAGTTATGTGGTAAATTCGGTTATGATTTTTATGAATCATTAGCAATATGAATTAATAGTATAGTAGGTTAAAGTTGAAGTATAGAATGAGTGTAAATATGGCATTTGATTACTTTTGTGACATGCAATGTACTCTTATATGCCTTACAGAAAAGCTTCATAAAATACGAAGATAACAAACAGAAATCGTGTACAAAAGTCAAAGGAAACAACACAAATTGGAAGCAGAGCAAACACGGATCTCTAAGACATCAGAGGTAGGATTAGGTGCCATGGAGGAGTAAGCATCCCCCGTAGACCGGTCAAACCCGCCGTGAGCCCTTTGTCTTGACTGGGTAAACGGATAAATCTGTAGATAATTCACTACGGAAACAATAGCCTGGCAATTGGCATTAAAATACGTCAATCAAATTTCACCTCACTGCACGTTGTATTTGCAAACAAAGCCACTTCACTGAACATAGAATTGACAAAACGTTGGATTTAAGTCAGATTGTCGATACCCTTGTAACATCAACTTATTTTTCAGGGTTTTGGTTAGGGTTTGTTTGGTTCACAGCGATAATGCTGTCATATACTATACTTTGAAAAAAAAAAGAATATTAAAGACTGAACACGATATAAAAATAAATATAAAACAAGAAAACACAGTTCATTAATTGAATTATTGCCTATTTGTACAGTTCATACTGAACTGGAGACAGCTACTCCTACACCAGATTGTTATCCCATCTAATTACCTGATGGCTGATGTGGCGAACACCTGTCCGTTAGACCCCACAGACAGAACCACAATGGATGCCGTCACCACCAGAAAATCTGTAATGATTAGACACATGGATCACTGAAGCATAGTAGGACACCACGGTTGATTACGATTTGATCCTCTTTCCAATACCCATGGGTCAATTTATACCAATGCGCTTGTTCTCATGAATAATTAATGAGGCTGTTTTATTGGACGCTAAGGGAAGAGGAACAGTAAACTGTCCAATCAGTAGGTCCCTAACATCGAACGTTAGTTACAAGTACAACTGAACGTGCTTGAGTTTTGGTAGGCATATTACATGCAAGTCTGGAATGCACGTGAATTAAAACGCATCCCAGATTTTGCTCCTGGCTTGTTTGGCTACAGGAACCTGTATTACAAGAGAAGACAACTTTTAATAGACGCATTGTGATAGGGGGTTTAAACGATGCTGCCTATAAGAATTGACCCCTGGGTGATGGAGATAGGAACCACGCGTAATTAACCGCGGTGTCCGACTATGAGTAACACAGAAATAGTTATACCTTAACACTGTAAAGAGGCAAGTTAAATATTAGCAAATTTAAACATTGTAAAAAGTCAATAAAAATGAATAAATGTGATTAATGTAATGGAAGTCAACAGGAAAATGATTTCTTGTAATCATATCTCCAACACTATAGTGGTTGGTGTTCAATCCAGTCATTTGGCTATCACTGAGTTAAGGACTTTGACATAGTTCAATTAAGCAAATTTATTTTAAAATTTGTAGACATTCTGATATTCAACTGGACTTTCCTTTTTATAGCTTTTGTTCCTAGACTTTGTAGGTTTTTTAATCCATGAAACTTACTTTTTTTATCATGGATTTTGATTTTATTATCTATGTAGATACGTTGTTAACTATAGTGTACTTTGGTTTGATTATCTATTTAGGTTTTTTATGATGCGTATTGGTCTTATTTAATAGGTTCTGAAATTGTTATGAATTATGGATATTAGTTTTATTATCTCTGTAGTATTTTTCTTGGTAATTAACAATGTTACTAATTTTTAACGGTTTATTCTACCTATTCCCACTTTTTGAAAATCAGGTAGGAAAAGGTAAAATTTTATGTGGGAAAAGATGGAATTTTTGTGGAAACAAATAATTAACCGTATAAACATATAATAACTGTATAAACAGTGATTAATTAACACCTGTTGGAATAGAGGACAGGTAAATTGTCTTTTAAAAACTATAAATCTGACTTTTTACTTATATTTGAAAGAAAAATGAGATTTTTACTAATATTTGAAAGAAAAAGAAACAAATAAATTATTTATATATTTCATTCATTTTAAAATCACATTGCAAAAGTCCTTATAGGACATTTCATAGTGTGCATGGAGCACAGAATAAATAAATATATAAGCACTAAATTGAAATCCATATTAAAATTCACTATGTTTTAAATAAAATGCTTTTTTTTTTTTTTGTTGACTATATCTTTTTATTATCTATAATCCATACATTTAAATGAAATAAATAATATTTTATTTTTATAAATCTATTTATTTTCTGTCCTAAAATGTACAGAATACAGGTAAATCTTAGATGGGATGAATTAGTCTAATTACTATAAAAACAAATTAACTATCAAAATATCTATTGTTATTTCCAAGTGGGAATAGGTGTAATTGAGATTTTTAAAAAGTGAGAATAGGTAGAAGACACCTTTTAAACTATGCTACAGATTACTTTAACTATTTTTATAGATAATTTGTTTTAAAATTGTATTGTCGTTAATGTGTTCATTAAGATTGGTATTGTCTTTATTTTCTATATAGATAAATTGTTATAGATGGTGGATATTTGTCTAATTATCTAAGTCGTTAAATTGTTCATTAAAATTTGTATCCTTTTTATTATCTATGTAGATCACTTGTTATTGATGAAGAATACTTTTTTTAATTATCTATGTAGTTATTTTTTTTTATCTAAGCTGGATATTGGTTTATTATCTATGTACATGTATGTCATTTAGTGTCTATGCTGAATACTGGTTTCGTTATCTATTTAGATTATTTGGTACCTTGGAAGTATTATTTGTTTGATTATCTATAATTGTTTTGTATAAATGATAAAATTTTCTTATAATAAGTGTATAAATATTTATCACATATATCATTTTAATGATTTATGAAGTTCATTTGTTACTATGATGGATATCGTTTAATTATCAATGGAGCCCATTTGTTACAAATGATGAATATTAGTTATCTATGCAATTAATTAGTTATCTACGATGGATATTGGTTTAGTTATTTTTGTGGTAGATTTGTTATCTACGATGGATATTGGTTTAGTTATTTTTGTGCAATTAATTAGTTATCTACGATGGATATTGGTTTAGTTATTTTTGTGGTTGATTTGTTATCTACGATGGATATTGGTTTAGTTATTTTTGTGGTTGATTTATCCTTGTAATAAACTAGTTTGTTACCTATGATGGATATTGGTTTAGTTATTTTTGTGGTTGATTTGTTATCTACGATGGATATTGGTTTAATTATTGTTGTGGTTGATTTATCTTTGTAATAAACTAATTTGTTACCTATGCTATATATTGTTTCAGTTATCTATGTTGTCCTGCCTTATGATTCAAGGTGCTTAAATTATCTACAACCTGTATTTAGTTAGTTTGTTACTTTCAACTGACGTTTGTCAAAATATCTCTATTATAGAGAATTTTTTTTTTATCTTCGATGGATATTAATTCAATTTTCAACATAGATAATTTGTTATTCACAGTGGATACTGGTATAATTATCTATGTAAAAAGTTTGTTACCCATGATGGGTATTGGTATATATGTATATGTAGATAATTTTTAACTATGATGAATACTAGTTAAATTACCGTTGTAGATAATGATTACTAACGATGGATAGAAATCGACTTTATCCTTGTATAGAGAGATAATTTATTGTCTATGATGTACATTGATGCAATAACCTACGTAGAAAATCTTTAATAGACATCGATTTAATGGGAAATAAACATAATTTGTTACCTATAATGGATGTTGGTTTAAGGAAATATCACACAAACAAAAATTTGATGCATGGATTGATAGATATTTTTTTGATTGATTTTGAATAGAAATGACATAAATAATAAATCCCTGAAATATAAAGAAATTGTAAGTTTTATGTTTTTCTTTGTTGCTTAGATATACGAGTTTGTGCCATTTTCTATGTAAATCTATAGATTTTTTTCCCCAAATTTTAAAACGTTATTACAAAATCGTACAAAATTATCATATTTATGCTGGCAAACATCATTCAGGTTACCTATATGAATATAAATCCATGAGATATATTGCTGTTTGTTTGTGTTATTTATCCTTAATTACGTATGTAGATATAAAATTTGTTACCTATAATAGATATTGGTTTACGGGCGAATCTGAAGCGTCCTGCAATCCCCATATATTTACTTCTACAGCCGGCGGACCACAGCCGAATGACGTACTCCAGACCAAAGAACACCACAAGTACTATTTCCTATATTAAAGACAATCATTTAAAAACTTCAATGTCAAAACATATAAACTAGAAGGGATATATCATCTTCATCCGTTTATTATCAACGATAATCTGTTCATGAAACTATGGATGAAAATCTGTTTTGGATAATCTTTATGATTGAGAGGCATGAAATTGAAACAAAGAATGTGACTATACATCGCTATTTAGGCATGAGACAACATAATGTGACTATACATCACTATTTAGTGTATATAGTGTTCATCTTCCCAGCGAATTCTTGTCTGGTGTTTAAATTATATACAGTATATACATAAATGACTGATTTAAGACAGAAACGTCTTGTAATGGTAATGGTTAATTCTCAGATGTTTCAGACAGTTTAAATCTCATTTAAGTGGTTGTTGCTTACAAAATGAACCGCAAGGAAAAATTCAAGAAACTGAACCGAAAAGAAAACTATAAAAGTTGAATATAAGCCAAAACATAAAGTTCTTATCTGATAATGTCATCAAAATCTAATTCATTTAGACAGTACATTCTGTCTGTCTGTCTGTCCTACCACGTAGAATAATGTTTACTGAAAACACTGAAATCACTTAGCATGTAGAACAATGTTTACAAAACCACCGGTCAAGTGAAACAATATTTACAGACATTGACCATAGAGAACAATGTTTATAGACAACAATAAGCATGTAAAACATTTTTTGAAAAGTGATCATAAAGAACAATTTTTACAGAAAACAACGACCACGCAGAACACACTGACCATGTAGAATATTTACCAAAAAACAATGACTACTTAGAAAAATGTTTTCGGAAAACAAAGACCATGTAAAACAATATCACTTGAAACATTTAGAGTAAGAAAATGTTTACAGAAAACATTGACCACGAAGAACACTGTTCACAGAAAACCCTGACCATGTAAAGTAATGGTTTCAGAAAACACTAACCAAGTAAATGAAATATTAGCTGAAAACACTAAACATATAAAAATGTTTACAGAAAAAACTAAAAAAGTAAATCAATCTTTACAGAAAACACTTACCATATAGAACAATGTTTCGTTGGCAAATGCTGTATACTGATCAATTGTTGAAAGTACACTGAAGATCAAGCAGATTAGCACCATCATAAAACTAAAAAAAAAAACACGTAGATCTATAGTGAAACTGAAAGTAAACATTGAACAACTGAAAAATAACACGTAGATCTATAGTAAAACTGAAAGTAAACATTAAACAACTGAAAAAAATAACACGTAGGTCTCTAGTAAAACTGAAAGTAAACGTTAAACAACTGAAAAAATAACACGTAGATCTATAGTACAACTGAAAGTAAACATTAAACAACTGAAAAAAAATAACACGTAGGTCTCTAGTAAAACTGAAAGTAAACATTAAACAACTGAAAAAATTACACGTAGATCTATAGTACAAGTGAAAGTAAACATTAAACAACTGAAAAATAACACGTAGATCTATAATAAAACTGAAAGTAAACATTAAACAACTGAAAAATAACACAAAGATTCATTATAAACTGAAAAAAAGGAAAGAAACATTCAATGTACAACTGAAAATAAGCAGTAACATTTAATCATCGTCATAAATCATTTAGTATAAAACCATTATGATAATGCAAAATAGTTAATACAGGGTATTTAGCAAACATGTCCCGACTTTGCGGTGTCAAAAAAAAAAGCGAAGAAGTATTTATGTAAGAACATTTAGCAAAAAACTGGAGAACATACATGTATCCATACAATTTTTTTCAACATAAAAGGTTAAGTATAGCTGGAACAGGTAAGTCTAAAACATGGATATCAGAGGCAGTTTTCAATTCAACGTCATTTTATAATGTGTTTGAAATGGCCACAATATTTCTCAGTCAGAAACCTCATTTTACCTCTGATACCAATTGTTGCTTTAAATAAGATGTGTTTGTGAAACACTGATGCCGTATGGCAACTCAAGAACAAGGTTAAAGTTTTCAAATGTTGGTCAAATACCAAGGTCAAGGACAATAGTTAAAAAAAATCTTGGTACCCAAAGATCTTGTCACAAAGGAATACACAAATGAAATGTGAAAACCCTAGCACAAACCTATCAGAAAATAAGGCTAAGGTAAACGTTTTTCAGAGTAGGTCATACATGTACTCCAAGATCATGAGATCAAAATATTGGTACCAAAAGGAAAAGTCACAAGGAATACATATGTGAAATATAAAAATTCTAGCACCAACCATTCAAAAGTTATAGGCAAGATTGATTTTTTACAATTAAAGGTCAAAGTCAGGAGTCAAAAAATATTGAAACGGAAAGAATATCATTTCACTAGAAATATATATGAAATATAAAAACCCTAGCATCAGCCGTTTTAAAGTTATGGCCAAGGTTAAAGTTTTTCAAAAGTATGTCAAATTCTAAGGTCAAAGTCAAAAGGTCAATAATGTTGGTACCCAAAAAAGGTCTGGTTACATGGAATAGACATTTGAAATATACAAGAGCACCGATAATTTAAGTTATGGCCAAGGTTAGGTTTGGTAAAATTTTGTAAAAGTAGGTCAAACTAAAAGGTCAAGAGATCAAATATGTTGGTATCCAAAGAAAGGTCTTGTCACAAGGAATACACATGTGAAATATGAAAGCCCTATCACCAACCATTCAAAAGTTATGTGCATGATTCAAGCTTTTTAGGACGAACACACAGATTGACAGACAAACGGACAAATACATGTAGACGGAGAACAGACCAAAACTATATGCCCCCAAATCTTTGATTATGGGGACATAAAAATCTGTTTCCTAGAAACATGATTCTCATCCGAGCACTTTTTTAAAAATCCTCTCCACTAGTAGTATGCGATTTTCTGTTTGCATGGTTAATTTAACAATATTTATAGAGATCCGTTTGTGAAAAAAATTACTACCCGACGTTTAATGATGCCATCAAAACAATAATAAAGTTATTATATTTTGTATTTATGTCACAATTATATTGCCGGGGGAAAAAAAAATAAAAATACAGTTGTTATTTTGTAAATATTTCATTACTGTGCAATAATATAGACATCTAAATTCTGGACATATTTGATGAAACAGCCTGTACAACAAAACAAAATTGAAAATTAACCTTTTATTGGGAATGTTTGTTGAAGCATCCCGTACAACAATACAAAATTGTAAGTAAACCTCTTAGCAGAGGCACACAAAATGAAAATCAAAAATATTAATAAAATGCATAATACTCAAAAGCTACATCGTAACTCTATAAAAGAACGAAATTAGACCTTAAATTAAAAGGCGTCATTTTGTACTAAACAATCTACATTAAATAAGTTTGTTATATGATTGAATGGCTCCTAGCTCTCTATTTGTCTGACACCTAAAATTCTAGAAACCAAAGAAGTTATAATTACCTGCACCCGACCTTTCAGATTAATACAACATTTGATTTTTTTAAATATATCTTTTTAATATTGGACCAAAAATTAGGCCGAGGACTTTCAAATTGCAAAGATCGGTATAATTCCTTCACTGAATTCCCGCCTTTCTTTTTTATTTATTTATACTGACGGACGGACAAACGAGTATGGGTACATTTTCACACAAACGACCTCGATACAGATACACCTGAATCAAGTGCTGCAAACTACATAAAAATGAAGTCCTGAGAACATCAAATATTTATCTACAGAAACACAACTGTAATTAACTAAGTCAGAAATAATAACGAAACGGGGACTTCTAAGTGAGAAAATGTATAAATATTTGAATAAACAATTACCTCGCATCGCAGGGGATGAGACCAACACAAAATACAGTATTTAGTTATGTTGAAATTGGTTAAATGTTTAAGATTATGGATGGTACAAATGGTAAATACAGTGGCATCATTGAAGAAATAACATATATATACATTGTATATTACATATATTGAAGCAAACATACAGTAAACTTTAGATATAATGTTTTTTGTGGAACCTTGAAAATTTCACATTATTTATATCCGATAAACCCTTTTGCAATTCTGAGTTTTAAATAATGAAAGACCGAAGCTTCCCTTATATACACACGAATAATTCTTCATAAAAAAGTTTTAAGAACATATTAACTTTGTTGATGAAGACAGTGCAAAAGAAACAGCATGCATTTTACGTTTTACATGAAGAACGCATCAAGAATTGTTTCCTACATAACAAGGACGGGCCTTTCAAACGATTGTTCGATTAGAAACTGTTTATTACGGACAGCACTTCATACTCGCTGTCAGGCTGTGGCGGAAACAGTTCTAAGTACACGTTTGGGTGACCTCATGTACTGTACATCTTGAATGAAAGGCACCAATTTCACAAAAATGCAGCATAATTAGATGTCACGTCTTTAAAGGACAGGTGTTGCTAAAAACGCGGAACGGAACGGAAACAGAAAACCTTATATCAAATTAAAGTGTATATACTTGGCACAGATATAAATCAGACAGGAACCAGTATTTGTCATAAAATACGTCATATCTAATTAAAATATTGCAAATCCATTCAATTTTTAAGGTTACAGTAGATTTGGAATGTGTTAGTTTTTTTAATCGGACTGGAGGGTACGTTTACAAAGAATAAGGGGAAGTAAAACAAAGATATTATTTACCACGGCCTAAGATGATTTTTCTCTTTCTGCGTGTGTGAAACTATGTTTGAGTGTGTGTAGGGGGCACCGCCCTGGAACCCCCCCCCCTTCAAAAGTTACTACATCCGCCCTTGTGATGGATAAAGATATGCTGCCTAAAAGCAAGAGAAATGGGATAATCAGGGATCAACAAAATAGCTGGTCTAGTACTCAGTAACAAATCATAAAGTAGATCAATTTACCGGTACTTGCCTGTACTTGCCGGTGCTAATACACTCACAGTTGTCACTATCCCCATGTAGACTACAGATTACAATAGTCCTTAAGCACTGATAATAACCACGTCACATTCTCCAACATTGGACTCTCTTAGTCTTTGAGGAACATTTAATGTACAAAGATATAAAGTATTTATGTCTCAGTTTTATTCACCTATTATTTACATGTCTACTTTACCATTAAAAACTATGAAAGTACATTATGTATTATACATAAAAAATTCACATTCAATTCTCTAATTCAATTCACCTATCAATTACATTATTTACAGTGATTAATTATCAAAGGTGAATAGTAAAGGGGAATAACTTTTCTCAGTAGCAAACAATAGAGCCCTACCCAGCACCAAAACACTTAATCCAGTGGTATACAATTTCACAAATCTGTTAAAAACACAGGTTTGGGTATAAGTTAGGGTTAGGATTAGGGCTACACCACCGTAACACCAAAATCCTTATCCAGGGGCCATGAAATTCAAAATTTTGAAAGAGGCAATGCGTATTTTCACCATATAATCAATACAGCCCTACCTTAATTCCGGAACCGCCGTCACGGTAGCTCAGTCGGTAGAGCTCGTGTGTTCAAAACACGACCGCGACTGACCTAAGCCGATAAAAAATAGGTAGCTACTATTCCTTCGCCAAGCGCTCGGCACTTTGAAGTGAAAGTTGAGGGTCCTTCGGATGAGACCTTAAAAACCGAGACCCGTGTCACGGTAAGCGTTGGCACGATAAAGATCCCTCACTGCTCAATGGCCCTAAGTGCCGAGTAGGTCTAAATTTCAAGCCTTTCTCCGGTATATGGTGACATTTCTATATGAGTGAAAAATTCTCGAACGGGACGTAAAACAACATACAATCAATCAATTCCAGAACCCCTTACCTAGGGGTCATGAAATTCAAATTCACAGTTTTGGAAAAGGCATCCCATGCATTTAATTTGTTTGCTCAATACCCAGAAACAGAGAAGAAATAATGCATTTTCACTATAAAATTGAATGACATATAATCAGTAGAGCACCCCCTAACACCAGAACCCTTGACCCTGGGGCCATGAAGTTTGCAATTTTGGTAGAGGGTTCAATGTTTATTACAATCATGCCAACAGTTTGACTGCTTGATATCCAGGAATAAAGAAGATTTTTAAAGATTGTATTAATTTTAGTTTTTGACCCACCCTCAGGCCCCACCTGGGCGAGGGCCATGCATGAATTCCATAAGTTTTGTTCCCTTTTA